AACCAAAAAATAAAAGAAATGGAAGAAAGAACAAACCAAAAAAATTCATAAAATGCAACAAATGGATGAAAAGATAACCTGAAAATTGTAAGAAACAATCCAAACAGTGTAAGGTTTGAGAACTGAAATAGAGACAATTAAAAAAACACAATCTGAAGGAAGGCTGGAAATAGAAAAGCTGGGCAAACAGTCAGGTACTACCTATTCAAGCATTACCAACAGAATACAAGAGATGGAAGAGAGAATTTCAGGTGTTGAAGATACACTAGGAGAAATGGATTCATCAACCAAAGAAAATCTTAAGTCCAACAAATCCTTAACACAAAACATCCAGGAAATATGGGACACCATGAAAAGACCAAACCTAAGAATAATAGGTATAGAAGAAGGTGAAGAAAACCACCTCAAAGGGGCAGAAAACATATTCAACAAAATCATAGAAGAAAACTTTCCCAACCTTAAGAAAGACATGCCAATGAAGGTACAAGAAGCTTACAGAACACCAAATAGAGTGGATCACAAAAAAAGTCCGCTCACCACATAATAATCAAGACCCCAAATATACAGAATAAAGAAAGAATATTAAGAGCAGCTAAGGAAAAAGGCCAGGTAACATATAAAGGCAAACCTATCAGAATTACACCTGACTTCTCCATGGAAACTCTGAAAGCCAGAAGGTCCTGGATAGATATTCTACCAACACTAAGAGACCATTGATGCCAGCCCAGACTACTATACCCGGCAAAGCTCTCAATCACTATAGATGGAGAAAACAAGATATTCCATGACAAAACTAGATTCAAGTAATATGTATCCACTAACCCAGCCCTACAGAAAGTTCTGGAAGAAAAACTCCAACCCAAGGAAGTTAACTACAACCAGAAAAACATAGGCATTAGATAATCCCACTTTACCAACAGCCAAAAGAACAAAGGGATGGAATTCCACACATAATTCCAACAACAACAACCATTCCAAATCAAAGAAGAATGAGCAATCAATGGTCACTAATGTCCCTCAATATTAATGGCCTTAACTCACCCATAAAAAGGCACAGGCTAACAGAATGTATTAGAAAAAACACACCTTACCCTCAAAGACAGACATTACCTGAGAGCTAAAGGTTGGGAAAAGATTTTCCAATCAAATGGACCCAAGAAACAAACAGAGGTGGCAATCCTAATATCTAACAAATTAGACTTTAAAATAAAATCAATCAAAAGAGATGAAAGAGGTCATTACATCCTCATCACAGGCAAAATCCACCAAGATGAAGTTTCTATTCTGAACATCTAAGACCCAAATACAAAGACATCCACGTTTTTAAAGGAAACATTACTAAAACTTAAATCACATATAAAGCCCCACACACTTATAGTGGGAGATTTCAACACCCCACTGTCACCACTAGACAGGAATACCAGACAGAAACTCAACAAAGAAGCAAAGGGTCTAATAGAAGTAATGACCCAACAGGGATTAGCAGACATCTATAGAACATTTCATCCACATAAAAAAGAATATACCTTCTTCTCACTACCACATGGAAGCATCTCAAAAATCAACCACATAATTGGCAACATATCAAACCTCAGCAGCTACAAAAAAAATTAGAATAACTCCATGCATCTTATCAGACCACCATGCTTTAAAATTAGAATTCAACAACAACACAAATTGCAGAAAACATACAAACTCATGGAAATTGAATAATGCACAACTGCACCATTCCTGGGTCAAAGAAGAAATAAAAAAAGAAATTAAAGACTTCCTAGAATTCAATGAGAATGAAGACACAACATACCCAAACCTATGGGACACTTTGAAAGCAGTGCTACGGGGGAAGTTCATAGCACTAAGTGCCCACATGAAGAAACTGGAGAATAGTTATACCAGAGAATTAACAGCCCAGCTGAAGGCTCTAGAACACAAAGAAGCAAACTCCCCCAGGAGGAGTAGACGCCAGGAAATAATCAAATTGAGGGCTGAAATCAATAAAGTAGAAACTAGGAAAACAATACAAAGAATCAATGCAACGAAGAGTTGGTTCTTTGAGAAATTCAACAAGATAGACAAACCTTTGTCCAAACTTACCAAACAGCAGAGTGTGAACATGCAAATTAACAAAATCAGAAATGAAAAGGGAGACATAACAACAGACTCTGAGGAAATTCAGAGAATCATCAGGTCATACTTTGAAAACCTATACTCGACAAAATTCAAAAATTTAAAGGAAATGGATGACTTCCTGGATAGCTATCACTTGCCAAAATTAAATCAAGAACAGATAAGCAATTTAAATAGACCTATAACCCCTATGGAAATATAAGCAGTCATCAAAAGTCTCCCAAACAAAAAAAGCCCAGGTCCAGATGGCCTCAGTTCAGAATTCTACCAGAAATTCAAAGAACAGCTTATACCAATTCTTCTCAAAGTATTCCACGCAATAGAAGCAGAAGGGTCTTTGCCTAACTCTTTTTACAAGGCTTCAATAACCTTGATCCCCAAGCCACACAAAGACACAGCTAAGAAAGAGAACTTCAGACCAATATCCCTCATGAACATTGATGCAAAAATACTCAATAAAATACTGGCAAATCGGATCCAAGAATACATCAAAACAATCATTCACCACGATCAAGTAGGTCATCCCAGGGATGCAGGGATGGTTCAACATGTGAAAATCCATCAATGTAATCCACCATATAAACAAGCTGAAAAACAAAAATCACATGATCATCTCACTAGATGCTGAAAAAGCCTTTGACAAAATCCAATACTCCTTCATGATAAAGGTCTTCGAGAGATCTGGGATAATAGGAACATACCTAAACATAATAAAAGCTATATACAGCAAACCAACAGCCAACATCAAACTAAATGGACAGAAACTCAACGCAATTACGATAAAATCAGGAACAAAACAAGGCTGTCCACTCTCTCCATACCTTTTCAATATTGTACTTGAAGTTCTAGCCAGAGCCATAGGAAAACAAAAGGAGATCAAGGGTATACAAACTGGAAAGGAAGAGGTCAAACTATTTGCAGATGATATGATAGTTTACATAAATGACCCAAAGAACTCTACCAGGGAACTCTTACAGCTGATTAACACCTTCAGCAAAGTGGCAGGCTACAAGAGCAACTCAAGAAAATCAATGGCCCTACTTTATACAGACAATAAAAGGGCTGAGAAACAAATCAGAGAAACATCACCCTTTACAATTGCCACAAAACAACATAAAATACCTAGGGGTAACACTAACCAAACAAGTGAAATACCTGTATTGCAAGAACTTTGAGTCTTTAAAGAAAGAAATTAAAGAAACCCTCAGAAAATGGAAAGATCTCCCATGCTCTTGGACAGGTAGGATACATCCACACACATACATAAAAATAAATAAATCTTTTTTAATGCATACACATGCACACGTATTCTGTTTAGGATAATAGGAAGGGTGCCTTGTGGACATCTCAGAAATCATAAATGATGTCCCTCCTGTAATAACAGTCAAGACTATTAGTTCTTCACTTTAAAGGCTGGCCTGGGATTCCCTCTACAAGCTCAGTGAACAGGGTCACCTCAGGATTCCAATACCCTGGTAACCGGCTCATTAGCTTCTGTAGTCATGGTCCAAGCGGGCTCAAGCCACACTTAAGCAGACTTTCATGGTGGGCATGGCACCAGGACTATGCATATTCAGGATGCCAGTAAGGGTAGCCTGGTGAATGTTTAAAAAGAATGAAGCCAGGCAGCAATTTGTGGCAAGCTGAGTTCCTTCGGGGTTCTCTCAATAGGGTAATGCCTAAATGGAGCCAAAATGGCTACCTGGGGATCCTATAAAGGTCGAGAAAGCAGCAATACGCCACCTAGGCTTGAAAAGTTGTAAACCCCAACACATAAGCCTATGAAAAGTACCAACACGTACCAGAAAAGCAGGAGGGCTTGGAGCCATCCCTCATCACAGTGTACACAAATGCTGGGCTGGGAGACTTAGAGAGGTCTCTGTGCTTCTGGGTTTCAGTCTAGGTTGGAATGATTCCTCTTTTCTACTTGCCTAGTCCTCCTTTGGGGAATAGGAATTCATCTTGAGTCGTACAGGAAGCTCAGAGTCTAGCTGACCTGGAATTCAGCCACTGCAACTGTAGGAGTGTAGCACCATGCCAAGCTAGAGCTGGTGTTTGAACACCAGGGGGCGCCATATCATCAGGCCTCTCCAGGAGACTCATTCTGCTCTGGGAGCCGCCAGAGCACAGGACGCTTAACTCCAGAGCTGACCATCAACCAATTAGGGTGAAGCAAGTTAATTTTTACAGGATGAAAGGTGCTATAAAACGCAAGTCCTCCCCTGATTTCCACAGCTTCTTCCACTGCTGGTTATGAGAAATATGGGGACAATGGTACAAGCTGGGACCAACGTCCTAGTCTGGGTGGCCTGTCTACTGGCATTTCCTGCCACAGTCACTGGTAAGACATACTCCCTGAACCTGTGAAGTGGGGTTTCTGGCTTGATAGGAAACCTGAGGAAGGAGGAGACAAGAGTGAGGCAGGGACCAGTAAGAGTAAGCAGCCCTCTCAGGGAAGGGGCCCAGTGTAGAAGAATGCAGGCACTGTGTATCCTCCTGAGCAGGGGCCCTCATTATCTTCCTGCATGGTCTATGGGGGATAGGGGTTTGTGATGGTGATGGTGTTTATTTACTTTCTAGTGCCTGAACCCCAGGGCCTTAACATACTAAGCACCACTGAGCTATATCTCCAGTCTTATCTTTATGTCCTTTATTGTTGTTGTTGTTTTGCACTGCTTTAATATTTTTATTTTTCAAGTTCCCACAGAACATCCCACAGAGCTTAACATTCAATGTCTCTTCTAGGCCAAACTTCCAAAGCCCTTCCACAAGCCTCAGAAAACATAGTCAGATCTGTCACAATGCCCCACTGTTTGTACAAATTTTCCTTAGGCTTTCTAATGTTGCAACAAAACACTTAAGCAAAAAGCAAGTTGAGGAAGAAAGGGTTTATTTGGCTTCCAAATCAGCATTTCTGTTCATCACTGAAGGAAGTCAGTATAGAAACTCAAACAAGGCAGGATCCTGGAGACAGGAGCTGATTCAGATGGCGTGCACTGGAGATGCTTACTAGTTTGCCTCCCATGGCTTGCTCAGCCTGCTTGCTTGCTTCCTTTCTTCCTTTCTTTCTTTCTCTGAAACACTTTTTTATTATATATTAAAATTAGAAACAAGCCTGCTTCCCATGTCAGTCCCAGCTCCCTCCCCTCCACGCCTGCTTCTCCCCACCAGCCCCCCAGCCCCCCACCCAATCCCCACTTATCTTCATGCTTTAAAGGACACAAGTAAGACAAGAGTGTCATGAAGGAAGTTTACTCACAGTCCCCTGAAAAGTGGGGGTACAAATCACCCCATAAGACCACACAAGGAAGTCACCAGATGACAGAACAAGTACGGGGAAACGGGGATAGACTCCCTTCTTGTTTTTGCAAGTGGGCAAGAGTAAGTAATGCAGGCTAAGTGGACTTAAAATAACCAGGCTCCAGATGTCAAGGCATCTAGGCACAGGAAGTAACAAGGTTGACTAACACGCCATATTTAGCACGTGATTAGCCTAAAGCTCTAGTGGGCAGCAGGTCTGATTCAGCCCAGAGGTTGTGACACAAAGGTAAAGAAGAGGAAGCCAGGGATGATCATAGAGATAGAAACCATGTGTGCTAACACGCACTTGTAATCCTGGCACTGAGGAGGCAGAGGCAGGAGGATCAGAGGTTAAAAGCCAGCCTCCACTATGTAGCAAACTCAAAGCCGGACTGAACGTTCCCAAAAACAAATAAATAATAATCACGAAAGTAACCACTTGCTGGAGAGCTCAGCCATGATACTGTGTGGAGAGTGCTCAAAATAGAACCAACCCCACAGAATAGACACTGGAGAAACAAACGCTCCCGCATTCTAAAAGTCCGTCTTTCCTCAATCCCCTCTTGGAAGCTGTAGACTCACCCGGTGACCTCTCTCTCCCGATCTCAGGAGCCAGTGTCACTCAGCCTGAAGTGGATACCCCCCTGGGTCGTGTGAGAGGTCGGCAGGTGGGCGTGAAGGGTACAGACCACCTGGTGAATGTCTTCCTGGGCATTCCGTTTGCTCAAGCACCACTAGGGCCTCTGCGGTTCTCAGCCCCACTCCCACCACAGCCCTGGGAAGGTGTGAGGGATGCCAGCACCAATCCCCCGATGTGAGCACCCCTGCAGGAGGTGGGCAAGAGGGTAGGGTGGCGGCACCTGCTGGACGCCAGGGCGTGTGGAGCTGATAGCCGGCCCTGGGATCCGCCTTGGCTGCAGGTGCCTGCAGGATGTAGGAAGAATGATCAACGGCAGATTCACCCTCAACGAAAAGCTTCAGATCTACTCGACTTCTGAGGACTGCTTGATCCTCAACATCTACAGCCCCACGAAGACCACCGCAGGGGCCAGACTGCCGGTATATAGTCCAGAGGAGCCTATCCAGCTGTGCCACGTCGCCTGCCTCTCTACACCCCCCTTTCCTAAACACCCCAGAAGTGCTTAGCACACCCTGACTGGCTGTTGGGTGGGTGGCAGAAGTCCCAGAAGCGGGAGCCACTGACTCATAGCCATTTCTACAGGTCATGGTATGGATCCATGGGGGCTCTCTGGTAGTTGGCTCTGCCACCTCCCATGATGGATCGGCCCTGGCTGCCTATGGGGATGTGGTGGTAGTCACTGTTCAGTACCGCCTCGGGATCTTTGGCTTCCTCAGGTAAGATAGCCAGCCTGGAAAAGGACATCGCAGCCCGGAGGAAGGTCTTCTCCTGAGAATCTAAGGGTAGAGGAGGTGAGGGTGTTGTTCACCCAATAAAGTTTGCTTGCCATGCAAACATGAGGACCTGAATTGGGGTCGCCAACATCCATATAGAAGCTGGATATGACTGCATATGTCTGTAATCCCGGCACTAAGTAGTCAATAGAGACCCTGTTTCAAAAACTAAGAAGCAGCTAAGCAAGATGCCTAATGTTGCTGTCTGGTCTCTATGTGTGTACACTTGACAGGAATTCATATGTGAATGCACCACACACACACACACACACACACACACACACACGTGAGAGAGGGGAGAAAAGGAGAGAGAGGGAAAGGGAGAGAGAGAGAGAGAGAGAGAGAGAGAGAGAGAGAGAGAGAGAGAGAGAGAGAGAGAGAATCTCAGGGCTCCACAACTGAACATTGAACTTGGGCAAAGGGTGGGGCGGAGTCCTAGCAGGGAATGGGGGCAAAGAGCAGCAAGATCCATTATTGATCTGAGAGCCAACTCTACCAGGCTGCCCTGCTACATCTGCCCACACCATATACTGGGAAAACAGGTGCCAATGGTGACTCAACCAAGCCAGGACTGGGAAACAGAGGAGTGCCCAATGCCCTGGCGACTGAGTCAAAGCAAATATGTCCTGGGAGCTTTCTGTGCTAATCATTGCCTTGCCCTGCCCCTAGCACCGGGGACAAGCACATGCCTGGTAACCGAGGCCTGCTAGATGTAGTGGCTGCTCTACGCTGGGTACAGGGAAACATAGCCCCCTTTGGGGGTGATCCCAACTGTGTCACTATCTTCGGTAACTCTGCTGGTGGCTTGATCGTCTCGTCCCTGGTGAGTTACCACCGAGAAGTAACAATTGTGGCCAGGTCTGAGAGGGCTCCTGGGGCCCCAGACCCCCTAGTTCCTCTGCCTGCTGACATCATCCGTCCTCCTTGCTGTTCCAGGTCCTGTCTCCAATGTCTGTGGGGCTCTTCCACAGAGCCATATCCCAGAGTGGGGTTGTCATCAACAAGATACTGAAGGAGATAAACCCATGGCCTGAAGCTCAGGTCTGCCTTTCCTTCACTCTCTTGTACTAAGTGTGCCTTAAAAACCAGCCTGTGCTAACCTTTGGGTCAGGTATGTAGCCAGGAGTCACCACTAGAGAGCCACCAATAGGCTCAGAAGCAATGACTAGTGCAGCCCAGGAGGTAGGCAGAGCCAGACGTGGCTTTCTGGAGAAGGCCACCCTGAGCAGGTTATCTCTGGCCCTTCCCTGGGGGCATTTGTAGTGATCTCCCCATTACCCAAGGGTTCTTCGGGAGCCTTCCATTCCCAGCCATGCTGTTGCCCACGAGTTTTGTCCCCTTGTGAGGAGTAGCCAGAAGAAGCCACCAGGAGCTTCTCTAATAGGAACTGTGCATGCAGAAACTCCGAGCATAAGTCAAAGTGATGGGTCATAGAAGCAGGAAGCCATCAGGTAGGAGCCAGGGCAAGAGGCGAATGTACTGAATATGTAGAGAGCAGTGTGGGGACCTGAAAGACCACGTCTGAGAGTTAGGGCAGGATGCCAAGGGCTCCGAGTGGCAGGGAGACAAACGTATGCCATATGGAGTGGACAGTTGAATGGAGAGAGCAATTCTGGAGGCCAAAGGCCAGGGAGATGGTGAAGACAGAGTCTAGGCAAGCTCTGGAGATACTTCTGGGGTGAGTGACGAGAGGCTGGCTCCAGGCCCTGGCTGTGATGGAGGAGTGGGCAGTAACACTGGGTTTGAGGGATAATTCAGGAACTGCAGAGGGACATATTGCTTCTTCTTTTATTTTTTTTTTGAGACAGGGTTTCTCTGTGTTGTTTTGGAGCTTGTCCTGGAACCTGCTCTGTAGACCAGGGTGGTCTCGAACTCACAGAGATCCGCCTGCCTCTACCTCCCGAGTGCTGGGATTAAAGGCGTGTGCCATCAACGCCCGGCAACATATTGCTTCTTATAGACCCAAGAGATAACCTTCATCTCACCATAGAGAGGGGAGATTTCCTTACCACAAATTGCAGACCTCCTCTGTCTCTCTGGAAGCCATCCCTCCAGCCCCCCTACCCCTGCTCCAGACTCAGCACCCCTTCCATTTTCTGCCAGACATGCTCATGCATGTCCTTATTGGTACTACAAACTATTACTGAACTAGAAAAAGGACACAGGAACAGGGATCAGCCCCCTGGTTGGTAGCTGGTCTCTCGGACTAGCTTGGACCCAGACAGTGACATCACAGCTCATTACAGAGAGCAGTGCTCAAGATGTGAAAGGTGTGTGACTAAGGCAACGTTCTTCTGTCTGTCCTCAGACCTTTGCCAACTCCTTGGCCTGCAGCTCCGTATCCTCGGCCGAGTTGGTGCAGTGTCTGCTGCAGAAGGAAGGAAAAGACCTTAACAAGCAAGTATGTCACCTCTTTGAAGATGATGACAGACAGTGACCCAGAGGGGTCCTGTCCAGTTCTTGAGGAATCAATAGGCTGGGTCCTCAAAGTGGACCTCCTGCCTTGCTTTTCCTGCAGAATAATGTGAACGTTTCCTACATCATCAACGATTCCTTCTTCCCACAAAGCCCAGAGAAGCTCCTAACAGAGAAGCAATTCCCCACTGTGCCCTACCTCCTGGGAGTCAACAATCATGAGTTTGGCTGGCTCATACTCAAGGTGAGTGTCCTCTGGCCCTGCTCTTCAAGGCCCTGTGCAGGCAGCCTTCTCCACATCATCACCACAACGGCCATGCTCCAAGCTCTCCAGCAACTCCCGTTTGACAGGTGAGAAAGCAGAGTGTCATTTCACCAAGCAAATGTCCCCTGTGTTAAAGACCCAGCTTTTGCAAAGTGGTCTTCTGGGAAGTGCTAACCTACAGCGCATTCTTGATGGTGGCTGGCTGATAAACTGTGCTGCTCTGAGTGATGGGGGAGAGAGACTCTGTGCCTGAGAGACTGACTGACTAGAGATGTGATGGGTCAGGTGTCTTCTCATCCAGTCTGGGTACGCAGTGCTCCGCCGTGCTGGACTCCTGGGCACCTTGCTTCATCCCACCATTTTTACTTGTCTACCCATCTCGGCAGAAACGTTTCTCTCTCTCCGATGATGCTGAAGACCAAACACAGGTCTTCGCGCACGCCAGCCAAGTTCCCTGCCCCCAAGCCTACCCCTTAACCCATCAGTTGTTTTCAGTGGATGAAGCCTCTCACAGAGGAAAGAGCCCACAGTGTTTCTTCACTCTGTGGTTTGAGCAGCTACTAGTATGGGTCACTCCAGCTCACAGTGCAGTGCTCTGTTTAAGTGATGCCATGCTGTCAAAAAAGAGAAGCAAAAGACTTCTTGTCTTGACAACCCCCCCCCCCCCACTGAAAATCAATCCACCATAAAATTCAGCGTCTCTGTCCAGGGCTTGGATACACATGAATTGGATCCCACAAGGATCATAGGGGGCAAACCATTGACATTCTTTCCCAGATTAGAAAACTGAGGCACAGGAAGTTCAAGTAACTTCATGGACCTAGTAAGTGGTAGACCTGATATTTGAACTCAAAAAGTCAGATGTCATGTGTTACTAAAGCAAGATCATCTAAGTCAGGCATCAAGGATGCTCCTGTATCCACTCAGGTGGCAGAGGTAGGAGTGTCTGAGACCAGCCTGGGCTACAATGTGAGCTCTTATCTCAAAAGCAAAATTACCTGTAAGATATAAAGCCAAAACTTGATTTTATTGCCTGGCGTCTTTGTTTGTTTGCTTCTTGTTTTAAGGCAGGGTCTCATCCTGTAGTCCAGTTGTCCTAAGACTCACTATGTAACCCAGACTGGCCTCAAAGTTAAGCTAATCCTCCTGCCTCAAAGACATGAGCCAACATATCAGACAACATGTGATGCTTTTAACTAGCACCCCTGAGATTCTGAGGTGAACCATGGGGGAACCCTAGCCCAATCCCCAGCACACCCATAGAAAATCCAGGTAGGCACTGGATGCCTATAATCCCAGTGCTGGGGAGGAGAGGGCAGGAGGATCCTGCGGCTCACTGCTCAGCCAGGCTAGCCAAACAGATCAACTCCAGGTTCTGTAAGAGACTGTCTCACAAAACAAGGTGGAAAGAGATTGAGCAAAACAACCAACATCAACTTCTGACCTACACACACACACACACACACACACACACACATGTGCACACACACATATGTACACACAAATACATATACACAGAGATACAAAAGAAAATATTAAATAAATATTCTCCTCCCTGCTGGTTCTGCCATTAGCCTCTGACCACTGAATGCAATGCCGCTGACCTAGGCATCTCCACTCTTAGC